AATCCTACCGTTGCAATAGTATTTTCTGACAAGAGGTTTCAGACCAACAGTGTCAATTTTGACAGTTACAGAGATGGACTTCCACTTTTACCCTCAATCCACTTTTGTAGTTCAAAGAAACCTTCATGACTGAAGGGCTAATTTGTAAAAATGCACCAAATTCTGTTTGACTAGAAAACCAACTTGCAGATGTGGGACCCAGCACAACGGTCCATTTTCTCATTTTTCCACGGAAATAATGCCAAACAAACAGGCTCAATGTGTGATTAAAAAGTAAGGAAAAGTTTTGGATTTATGTATGAAATATTTTATTATGTGAATGTGTGAAAGTGAGTATGAGAAACAAATTAAATTAAAGTCAAGGGCATCAAAGAGGGGTTAATAATCTTGTAACAGTTAACTAAATTATCTTATGGGGTGAAAACTCTTTATATCTGCTAAATTACCACTGAAAATTGATGCCTTTTATCTACCAATAGATAACAATTGCACTTTACATGCAATATGTATTTTGTCCTTAAGACTACAGCTTATGATAATTTATCAACCTTCGATATACTCTCTCAGGTTTTTCTTCTGGTACCCTTGCATAAGATGGGCCTGATTTCAGACCTCCCAGCTACAGTGACTGCGATCAAGAATCCGAGTTCAAAGATTGTATATGACGAGCACAACCACGAACGTTATCCGCCGGGCGATCCCAGCAAACGTGCATTTGCTTACTTTGTTTTGACTGGAGGCAGGTTTGTCTATGCCTCATTGGCCCGTCTCCTGGTACTTAAAATTTGTTTTGAGCATGTCTGCCAGTAAAGATGTCCTCGCTCTTGCTTCCCTTGAGGTAGACCTATCTAGCATTGAACCCGGGACAACTGTCACTGTTAAGTGGCGTGGAAAGCCAGTTTTCATTAGGCATCGCACTGAAGAGGACATCAAGTTGGCCAACAGCGTGGATGTTGCCTCCCTTCGTGACCCACAAGATGATTCTGCAAGGGTCAAGAATCCTGAATGGCTCGTGGTGGTTGGGGTGTGCACTCATCTGAGGTGCATCCCATTGCCAAATGCTGGTGACTTCGGTGGTTGGTTTTGCCCGTGCCATGGGTCCCATTATGACATCTCTGGTAGGATTCGCAAAGGGCCAGCACCTTTCAATCTGGAAGTGCCAACTTACACCTTGGACGAAGAAAAGTTATTGGTTGGATGAGAATTTAATTTATTATGGACATAATACACCCGAGCCTGGGGAAGCCAGATTGAGGAGGACCTTTTCTTATATATATATATGTTTTGCCCGTTCCATGGGTCCCATTATGACATCTCTNGATTTCAGACCTCCCAGCTACAGTGACTGCGATCAAGAATCCGAGTTCAAAGATTGTATATGACGAGCACAACCACGAACGTTATCCGCCGGGCGATCCCAGCAAACGTGCATTTGCTTACTTTGTTTTGACTGGAGGCAGGTTTGTCTATGCCTCATTGGCCCGTCTCCTGGTACTTAAAATTTGTTTTGAGCATGTCTGCCAGTAAAGATGTCCTCGCTCTTGCTTCCCTTGAGGTAGACCTATCTAGCATTGAACCCGGGACAACTGTCACTGTTAAGTGGCGTGGAAAGCCAGTTTTCATTAGGCATCGCACTGAAGAGGACATCAAGTTGGCCAACAGCGTGGATGTTGCCTCCCTTCGTGACCCACAAGATGATTCTGCAAGGGTCAAGAATCCTGAATGGCTCGTGGTGGTTGGGGTGTGCACTCATCTGAGGTGCATCCCATTGCCAAATGCTGGTGACTTCGGTGGTTGGTTTTGCCCGTGCCATGGGTCCCATTATGACATCTCTGGTAGGATTCGCAAAGGGCCAGCACCTTTCAATCTGGAAGTGCCAACTTACACCTTGGACGAAGAAAGTTATTGGTTGGATGAGAATTTAATTTATTATGGACATAATACACCCGAGCCTGGGGAAGCCAGATTGAAGAGGACCTTTTCTTATATATATATATATAAAATTGTAATTCGATTCTCTCTTTCTCATATGCTTCACATGTTGGATTTTTTTAATTGGGCTGGCACTCAGAACAGTGTCATGCTCTTTGAATAATACTGGCTTTTTGTCAGCCATTTTTGCTCGGAAGTGTTTGTTTTTGGATTATACTTGTATACAATATCAATTAATGTTCTCGAAGCTGATCGTACTTTTCCTGGAGTTGCAAAGAATGTTGACCATGAACGTATATTGCTGAAGAACACTCGACTCCTGGTTGAGTTCCATTCTTCAAAAATCTTATTTTTTTTGAACTCATATTTATTTGCACATTTTTCAATAAAATAATTTATACGAATATTCAAAACTTTTCTCTATTTTTTCACCAAATATTCTTTCATAATTCACTATTACAAAATTTATTTTTCACAACAAAATGTAGCTCAAGCAGAGCCTTAGTTCTGCATGGTTTGAATTACTGGCAAATTGACAGCTTTAACACCTGGAGACTTAATGTTGCTTTAGCAAAATTATTATTATGATATAAGGTTTAGGTTTTGTAATGTCTCGTCCTACGAATCAAGTCACTCGATAGCCAATTAAGAAAATAACAAGTCACTCAAGGCCTCCACTTAATGTCAATTCGCTTCCTAAGCCTACTCGAGGCAATTAGGCATGAAGGCCCAACTGATTGACACATTGGGTTTGACTCGTGACACATTAGGATGAGGTTACGTGTCACGCATCTAGCAAATATCACCTCTTCCGTTCCACTATATTTTTGCTCTTGTTCGTTGTCTCTTCCATATTTATATTATATCCTATTGTTGACTGTCTTGAGCGTCGTCTCTCCTACCATCGGAGAAGATGCCATGTGCATCCACCGCTTTGTTCAAATGTGCAGAAACTTAACATGTGGATGGAAGTGGAGTCGAGAATTATTGGTCATGTGTTCCTAGGGACGGCAAAAAAGTTCGTCGCCTCGAGCGACTTGGGCTCGACCCAGAAAAAGTCCGAGCTGGGCGGGGCCAGCCCGTGGCCTGTCTCCGACCCGTGACTAAGTAATATAAAAATTTTTAATTTTTTTTTAAAGTTTAAATGTATTTTTTTATATATTAATATTTAATTATTATTTATAACACGCATGAATTTGTATAAATACATTATCAAAAAATTATAGATTTATAACGAATTAAAAACAAAAAATACAAGCCGGCTCAGCCCGCTAAGGCTCGAGCCTAGCCTCATTTTTTGGCCGAGCTTTTGCTCGACTCGGGCCCAAAAAAGTTCGGACCTGTTTTGCTCGAGCCGAAGCCCGAGCTTTGAGTTTCGACTCGTGGCTCGGCTTGGCTCGTTGACATGGCCATGTGTTCCCATTTAATTTGAGGTCAACAAATTGACATCATCTATGAAAATCACACTTTAACCACAAGCATATCCCATGAGCAAAAGAATACCGAAAAACCAAGCTAACTCTCATTTGAAAAAAAGTGTCGTTCTTAAAGAAAAACAAGTGGAAGTTTTTGAAGAAAAATCAAATTGTTCCTCATTTACAGTTTTTTGATCCTTAAAAAAGGCAAAGTGTTTTAAGTTTTCTTTGCAACTCAAAGAGACCCATTTGAAGAAAAGACGCGTCTCAACATAATGAATGAAAGTGAAGGAAGTGGTTCTAATCTGCGGAGAGCGGTGAGAGTATTAGAAGTTAGAAGAATATATTTTAGTTAGCTTCAATTGGCAATTAGTTATGCCAGCTGGTATTGTGCTTTATTTCATTTTTCCCGCCTATTTTGTTTACACCTCTTTTCCTTCTATTTATATCTTGTACTTGGAGACTTTTCATGGTAGAATGAATATTCAATTCTTCTCTGCAATTCTATCTTTGAGTTCCAATATGGTATCAGAGCAGAAACTTTCCAGCTCTTAATTTCTTTTTCTTCGGGCTATTTTATTCCATTATACTGTAATGGAGCCAATACAAAATCAAGCAGATTCTGATGTGAATTCATCCATGAGTAAGTCAGCTATTGATGAACCATCTAGCCCATTCTTCCTCCATCATTCAGACAGTTCGGGATTAGTACTCGTTTCCCAACTGTTTACAGGAGAAAATTATGCATCATGGAATCGTGCGATGACAATCGTACCTTTGGTGAAGAATAAACTCGCATTCATTGATGGATCGATGGAGAGACCAGAAGAATCAAGTCCTGATTTAATCAATTCATGGATCAGGAATAACAACATAGTTATTTCATAGTTACTAAATTCGGTTTCGAAGGAGATTTCGGCTAGCATTATCTATGCGTCTACAGCTCACGAGATCTGGAATGATCTCAAAGAAAGGTTTCAGCAAAGTAATGGACCACGAATTTTTCAGCTAAGAAAAGAATTGATGAACTTAGCTCAAGATCAAAACACTGTTAGCGTCTATTTTACGAAGTTAAAGACTGCTTGGGAAGAGTTTATTAATTTCAGGCCTAATTGCACTTGTAGAAAGTGCACTTGTGGTGGAGTTAAGGAGATAAACAAGTACTATCAGATGGAATACATCATGTCATTCCTCATGGAGTTGAATGACTCATTTTCTCAGGCTAGAGGACAGATCCTGCTTATGGATCCTATACCGCCTGTTAATAAAGTTTTTGCACTCATGGTGCAGGAGGAAAATCAGAAGAAACTGAGCACACAATCGTTAGAAAATGATGCTAATGGTGCTGCTGCTTTTATTATCAGATCTGAAAATGCAAGGCAAGTGATGAACTCTTTCAGGTCTGAAAATGTGAAACTGATGATGAATTATACTCCTCAAAATGATGGATCTAGAGTTGGTAATTTTACTAACTTCAGGAGGAAAGAGAAACCTTATTGTACTCACTGTAAGTACCATGGCCATTCTATTGATAATTGTTATAAGATCCACAGATACCCCTTGGTTTTAAGCCAAAACCTAGGGAATTTGGTCAACATTACTCTGCCAATAGCCGTGTTAATCAGTTGAGCACTAATAACATCAACCAGAATCCTGATAATCAACTTGGAATGGGAGATTTTATGCAGAATCTGAACCTAGATCAATACCAACAGCTGACGAACATGTTGTCATTTATCATCTAGCTCAAAGGCTAATTCTACTGATCTAGATAAACAAAATACTTCAAACACTATAGGTATTTGTCACTTCATATCAGTTTCTCCCTTTATTGCCACTAAAGATTTTTGGATAGTGGATTCAGGGGCTACTAAACATGTTCTGAGGCTTTTGTAACAATGAGATCAATTGAAAAAGCAAGCATTACTCTGCTAAATCAAACAAGAATAGTAGTCAGCCTTTGTGGTGAAATCAGGCCAAGTCTTAATTTGGTTCTACATGATGTTTTATATGTACCACAGTTCAAACTCAATCTACTATCTGTCAGTGCATTAACTGCTAATTGCAAACTCACATTACACTTCTTTCAGGACCAGTTTTACATTCAGGAGACTAACACCAAGAGGATGATTGGCAAGGGTAGCACAGTTCTATGTGCTGGATATCAGAAGTTTTAATTCATTTTCAAATAATTTTGTTGGCAATGTGTCTACTTGCGTGTGGCATAACAGACTGGGGCATGTGTCTTTTAAGAGATTAGATACTTTAAAAGATCAATCGTCTTGTAATATTTCCAAGTTGAATAGACAGATTCCTTGTTATATTTGTCCAATAGCTAAGCAGAGAAGATTATCTTTTGAGTCATATAATAATCTTTCAAATAAGCCTTTTGATCTGTTACATGGTGACATATGGGGACCCTACCATACAGCATCACACACAGGACATAAATATTTCCTAACTCTAGTTGATGACCGTTCCAGATTTACATCGATATATCTGCTTCGTAAAAAATTTGATGCTGCTTGTGCCATAACTCATTTCTTCAACATGGTTAATACACAATTTAATGCCAACATCAAGGTCTTCAGATCAGATAATGCACTTGAACTGTCCTGTAAAGAATTATTTAATGACAGAGGGGTTATTTATCAACGCAGTTGTGTTGAAAGGCCACAACAAAACTCAGTTGTAGAAAGAAAACATCAACATGTATTGAACGTGGCTCGAGCTTTATTTTTTCAATCCAGAATTCCTCTTCATTTCTGGTCTGAATGCATGTTAATAGCAGCTTTTCTCATAAATAGGACTCTATCTCTTTTAAATCATAAAACACCCTATGAAACTTTATATTCTAAACCTGCTGATTACTCCAATATTCGAGTTTTTGGGTGTTTTGGATTTGCATCTACTCTTATTGCCCACAGAAATAAATTCCATCCTCGAGCTAACCCTTGTGTATTTTTAGGCTATCCTTCAGGAGTAAAGGGCTTCAAAATGCTTGATATTGTTTCAAAATAAATCTATATTTCCAGGGATGTGATTTTTCTTGAAGAAACATTCCTTTCTCAGTTTTCACACCATTGTGGAGTCTGATCAAGTTTTGGATCCCTTTCCTGACCTTGTGTTACCTTCTGTGACTTTATCTCCACCTATTGATCTTCATGTTCAATCTGTTCATACTCATCCTGAACCATCTATACAAGAAATGCCTTACAACCTTGTCCCAGATTCTTCCATTGCTATACATAATCCTGCTCTAGAATCTCAACTTCCTAGTCAACCACACTCTACCAGTCAGCTAAATCCAGCCATTAGAAAGTCCACAAGATTCTCCAGAAGTCCTAGATATCTTCATGAGTATCACTGTAATCTATTATCTTACACTGATCAATCCATTCCTTTCTCTCCATATCACATTGGTAATTTCATTTCACATCAAGGTTTATCCAATCCTCACAGATACTTTACCCTATCTATAACATCTCAGCTGGAACCTCAATTCTTTCATCAAACTGTCAAGGAGCCTCAGTGGTGTGATGCAATGAGACTTATGTTAACGGCCATGGAAGATAATCATACCTGGTCCATTGTACAACTGCCTCCTAGAAAGCAGTCTATCAGTTGCAGGTGGATATATAAAAATAAATTCAATTCAGATGGTTCCCTAGAAAGGCGTAAGGCACGCCTTATTGCAAAAGGCTACACTCAACAAGAGGGATTTGACTACTTTAAAACCTTCTCTCCTATGGCCAAGACAGTTACTGTCAAGCTGCTTCTTACACTTGCAGCACATTTCAACTGGCACTTGATTCAACTGGATGTGAATAACACCCTTTTAAATGGTGATTTGTTTGAAGAAGTATACATGGATCTTCCACTTGGATATGATTTACTTAGATCATTCAAACAGGGGGAGAGGTTAGTATGTCGATTGCATAAATCTATATCCGGATTGAAGCAGGCCTTACGGCAATGGAATTCTAAATTCACTTGTGCTCTCATTAAACACGGTTTTACACAGTCCAAGGCTGACTACTCTTTCTTCACCAAAGGTTATGAATATAATTTTGTGGCTTTGTTAGTCTATGTGGATGATATAGTAATAACAGGGCCAAACATTCGGATGATTAACTCTTTAAAGGCTTTTTTGCATTCCCAATTTAGACTTAAGGATTTGGGCCATCTCAAATATTTCTTTGGCATTGAGATTGCTCGCTCATCTTTGGGAATTGGTATATCTCAGAGACAGTATACTATACAGTTGCTAGAAGATGTTGGATATCTAGACTGTAAATCGGTTAACAGCCCTATGGATGCTAAGTTAACTCCCAGTCAACATGAAGGTGACTTACTCCCAGAGGCTTCTCATTACAGGAAACTGATTGGCAAACTAATATACCTGACGTTATCACGCCCTGATATAACTTTTGCGGTCCATAAGTTGAGCCAATACATGTCTCAGCCCCGGATGACATATCTAAAGGCAGTGCATCATCATCTGAGATATTTGAAGGGGCATCCTGGACAGGGTCTTTTGTTCTCTTCACAAGCACACTCAAGATCCGACATTAATATTAGGGGATTTTCAGATGCTGATTGGGGCTCTTGTATTGATACACGAAAATCCACTACAGGCTTTTGTATATTTGTTGGCGGCTCCATGGTGTCGTGGAAATCAAAGAAGCAATCCACTATATCTCGATCGTCTGTGGAGGCCGAATACAGGGCTCTTGCTTCAACCGTTAGTGAGATTTTATGGATTAAACAATTGTTGAATGATTTTCAAGCACATCCATCTTCTCTAGCCACACTATACTGTGATAATAATGCTGCAATTCCAGTAGTGATCTTGTTACGTATGAAGTGACAATCAATTTTTATGTGTTTGGTCCATTCGTGAAACACGGGGTTGGTACTAGCTTCTACAATCAACTACTTGCTGTCCAAGATGTGTGTCAAATACATTTACAGCACATCTTGAGGGGGAGTATTAGAAGTTAGAAGAATATATTTTAGTTAGCTTCAGTTGGCAATTAGTTATGCCAGCTGGTATTGTTCTTTATTTCATTTTTCCCGCCTATTTTGTTTACACCTCTTTTCCTTCTATTTATATCTTGTACTTGGAGACGTTTCATGGTTGAATGAATATTCAATTCTTCTCTGCAATTCTATCTTTGAGTTCTAATAGAGAGAGATCTTTGAGGATGAAGACCTAGCGAGCTAGGCTAACCATCGTCGAGTTTAACATTCACGAAGAGAAAAAGGGTCGTTGTTCGCTTATTCAGAGAGGTGGCAGCCATGGTTGTCAACCTGAGAAACATCATGGTGCAAAACTTCACAATGCAACTCCTCTTCCAAGTAGGTAGCTAAATAATCCCCTAACCCCGACATGTCCTACCAAGGCTTCTTCCACGGTCAATGGGAGAACCAGTGGGAGAGGATGAGGAAATGCAAAGAGGCCCCAAAATCAAAGGGAAGAGATAGACATTAGGCTCGCTTTAGGAGATGTGAAAGTTGACGTCTCACAAAATCTCCCTCGAGGCTAACCTGCTGCAAACCCGTTCAATGGAGAAGACCACTTTTCTCTTGTTTATAAACAAAAGCAGAGACCTAATAGGCTTGCTAGAGTTTTGGACAGGTTAAGAGCTGGGGTGCTTAGAAATAGGCCATAGGATGAGGCACCTACAAATAGGCGGGGAGAGAAAATCTGTTGAAGCAGTGCAATGGAGCAAGCTCTTAGCTTCCAACCCTATCAATTGCCTTAATCATATGTAGCAGACAAAGACGGACCATATAGGTCCTATGAGTTTGATGATGACAATTTCCCATTTCTCTAGCAAATCAAGTCGTCTTACATCCCCATAGCTAATGAAGATGGAGTGGAGGTTTATATGACTGATACAACAACTTAGTGTTGCAAAATGGAGAAACTAACCTCATATTTGATATTAAGATAGTATCAAAGGCTCCACTAACCTTGATCTTAGTTTTTGTTCTTCTAAAAGTGGTCTATTACTTGAACTTATATGTGGTAGTCCCGTTCATACTCACATTG